CAGGCTCTGCTTATTTTCCTCTATCTTTGGGTTTTTAAAAATTATTTAAAAAGTATTCTATATATTGATACTCTGTCAGCTGTATAACTGGAAAACATTCTCCCACACTCTATAAACTCTTTTCAGTTATTTTGAGTCAGTAGTCCTACTCAGTTGTGATGTTTATAAACCTCAGCAAAAGACAGCATTTGAAGATATCCCTAAGATGCTAGAGAGGAACTTATTGCTTGGAGGTAACAGACACCTGCCTAATAGACCTAAGATGTGCTTGATAGGAGAGAAATCATTTCTGATATTGGAATGCTTGACAGCTACATTTGTCTAGTAAGGTCATGGACCCTAGAAGGATACATAGTATGGCCACTTTTTTAAACTAGTATAATTTCTAGGTAAATTTAAGCACATCTTTATACATACAGGAAACTGATAATGCTTATAAATGACATTGCATGAATCCTATCTAAGTTAATTATCCAATCATTTTATTGTTTCATTTTAAGCCATTCATTGTATAATTATACAGATGCAGAACTCCCTTCATTGTAATATGATTTCCCCCTTTTAATGTGGGGAAGTCTCCTTTTTAAAACTAACTCCCCCTTTTAAGAATTCTCAATTGTCTCTGTTGCTGACTGTGAAATGTGAGGTATAACACATCTGAGCAGAGAACACAGGCAGTGAACAACCTGGCTGGGGACAGATATCACTGAAAGTGTGTCAGCAGCCTGAAGAGGGGGTCCAGGGAAAGCCCAACCAACAGCAGAAAGGAAGTCAAAGAACTAGTCCTTTGCAAGTGCTGGGATTAAATGTGTGAGTCAGTTTCTCTTGCTAGCTGACAGGCAAGATTTTTGCAAGTAGGCTATTCCAACCCTTCTATCCCATTGATCGGACCCTGTAAACTACAAGTCCCACTCTGCCCCCAAACCCACCCATCCCACGTGAACTCAGAGAAACTCTGAAGCATAGGCTGCAACTCCACAGAGCAGCCCAAGAAGTGAATGTTCACCCACCCAGCTGGATACCCTATTATTTAGGCTCTTGGTATGGGAGCAAAACCCTGGACCCTCTTCCATTTGCTGTACCTTCTCTAGCTAGTTACGAGGCAAGTTTCCTTCAGGCAGGCTGCTCCAATACCCCTATTCCATCTATTAGATCCTGTAAACTACAAGTACCAAATCCACCCCAAACTCTCCTATTCTCTGAGACCTCAAAGAAACTCTGAAACACAGGTTGTGACTACATAGAGAGGACCAAGATAATGGAACAAGAGAGCAGACCAAGAAAGTGGACCAAGAGAGTGGGCTAAGAGAGTCTTCAGTGTCTCCTTGAGACATAGACAGTAACAGTACAGAGCAGACCAAGACTAGCTCCTAAAGACACAGACAGCAACTGTAAGGATTGGAACATGAGGCAAAGACACTGCCAGCAACCATTAGAGGAAGAGATGGGGAGGCACCAATGCAAGAATTCATTCAATAACCTAAAAAGCAAAATGGTAACATCAGAGAACCCAGTTGCCATTAAAAAGAAAGACTTGATCATCCTAACCGAGAAGAAGCAGAAGAATACTATTTTAAATGTAACTTTATGAGGATGGAGGAGGAAATGAAAAATTCCCTTAAAGAAATGGAGGAAAATACAAACAGAAAATTGGAAGAAAAAATAAATATCTTAAGAAACCAAAGAAAAACAATTAAACAGGTGAAGAAAACAGACTAAACAATTCAAGACTTGAAAACTGAAATAGAGGCAATAAAGAAAACAAAAATTGAGGGAAATCTGTAAATAAAAAATCTGAGTAATGAATGAGAACTACAGATATAAGCATAACCAGCAAAATATAAGAGATGGAAGAGAATCTCAGATGTTGAAGATATTACAGAGGAAATAGATTCATCTGTCAAAGAAAAGGTTAAAGTCAACAAATTCTTAACACAAAACATCCAGGAAATCTGGGTATCAGGAAAAGACCAAACCTAAGAATAGTAGGGATAGAAGGAGAAGAACTCCTGCTCAAAGGCACAAAAATATATTCAACAAATTCATAGAAGAAAACTTTTCTAGTATAAAGAAGACTATACCTATGAAAGTAAAAGAAGTTTACAGAACATCAAGCAGAGTGAACCAAAAAAGCCCCTTTGCCGTATAATAAACAAAATGCAAACATACAAATAAAGAAAGAATATTAAGAACAATAAAGGAAAGAGACCAAGTAACAAATTAAGTCAGACCTGTCGGAATTACACCCAACTTCTCAGTGGAAACAGTGAAGGCCAGAAGGTCCCAGACATATGTGCTGCAGATACTAAGAGACCACAAATGCAAGCCCAGACTACTATACCCAGGAAAACTCTCAATCACAATTGATGGGGAAAACAAAATATTCCATGACAAAACCAGATTTAAGCAATACCAATCCACAGATGATATGGGATTCTCCTCTGTATGCTGTGAATACTATTTGTTAATAAATGGCTGTGTTGTACCCATAGCAGTGTAGAACAGAGCTACATGGGGAAAATTAAACTGAATGCTGGAATAAAGGAGGCAGAATTAGAGAGAAACCATGGAGCTGCTGCTGGAGAAAGATGTGCTGAAACTTTGCTGGTAGGCCACGACCCTGTGGTGATGCACAGATTAATAGAGATGGGTTAAATTAAGATATAAGAGTTAGCAAATAATAAGCCAGAGCTAATGGGCCAAGAAGTGATTTAAATAATACAGTTTCTATATGATTATTTTGGGTCTGAGCTGCCAGGTGGTTGGGAAACAAACAAGCAGCCTCCCTCCAACACACAAATCCAGCCCTACAGAAAGTATTAGAAAGAAGACCCCAACCCAAGGAAGCTGAATGTACCCACAGAAACATAGGCAGCAAATAGCCATATACCAGCAAATCCTAAAGAAGGGAAACAGAGAAACAATACCATAAAAATAGCAAAACTTAACAATCACTGGTCATTAATATCTCTTAATATTAATAAACTCTTTGATCCTACTGTACCTATTGGTTTCGTGGGAGCCTAGGCAGTTTCGTGGATGCTCACCTTACTAGACCTGGATGGAGGTGGGTGGTCCTTGGACTTCCCACAGGGCAGGGAACCCTGATTGCTCTTTGGGCTGACGAGGGAGGGGGACTTGATTGGGGGAGGGGAAGGGAAAG